TCTTCCTATATGCTACTGCCAAGCAACTTGAAAATGAGTATGTAAAGACAATAGAGTTTGTAATACCATAACAAATTAAATATTTAGTAATAAATCTAATGGAAGATATGCAAAACATTGATTCTAAAAATCACAAAACATTATTGAAGGTAATTAAAGAAGACCTACAGAAATAGAGAGACTTACCATGTTCATAGTAGAAAAGACACAATCATGTAAAGCCGCAGAGTCTCCTCAGATTGATTTCCGCAACGGGAATCTGAAATCCTGATACAAATTTGGAAGGTTTTTCTGTGGAGGTTGACAAGTTGGCCCTAAATTGTGTCTGGAAGTGCAAAATGCCAAGTATAATGAAGACAACCTTCAAGAACAAAGCTAGGCTGCATGCAGTGGCTACTGATGCTGTGGGTTCACACATGGTCCTCACCGCAGGAAAATGCAGACCACAGGCCAGGCATGGTGGCTCATGCCTGTAATCCCAGCACTTTGGGAGGCCAAAGCAGGAGGATCACTTGAGCCCAGGAGTTTAAGACCAGCCTGGGCAACATAAATCAGCTGGGTGGGCCAGGCTCAGTGACTGACACCTGTAATCCTAGCACTTTGGGAGGCCAACACGGGTGGATTACCTGAGGTCAGAAGTTTGTGACCAGCCTGGCCAACATGGTGAAACCCTGTCTCGCCTGGACAACGAGAGTGAAACTCCATCTCAAAAAAACACCACCACCACCAAAGCAAACAAACAAACAAAAAACAGCTGGGCATGGCGGCGCATGCCTGTAGTCCTAGATACTCAGGAGGCTGAGGTGGGAGGATTGCTTGAGCCTGGGAGGTTCAGGCTGTGATTGTACCCCTGGACTCCAGCCTGAGAGACAGAGTGAGATTCCATCTCAAAAAGAAGAAGAAAAAAAAAAAGAACTAGAAAGAACAAAGCTAGAGGACAAAAACACAATCAGATGTCAAGTCTGACTATAAAGCTATAGTTAAGACGGTGTAGTTAGACAAATGGACTGGAGGGCTAGAATAGGGTACTATATTCAGAAGTAGACTCACATATATTTATTTATTTATTTTTATTTTTTATTCTTTTTGAGATGGAGTTTTGTTCTGTCGCCCAGGCTGGAGTGCAACGGCGCAATCTAAGCTCACTGCAACCTCCACCTTCCGGGTTCAAGTGATCCTCCTGCCTCAGCCTCCCGAGTAGCTGGGATTACAGGTGCCCACATTATGCCCAGCTAATTTTTGCATTTTTAGTAGAGATGGGGTTTCACCATGTTGGCCAGGCTGGCCTCAAACTCCCGACCTCAAGTGATCTCCCCGCCTAGGCCTCCCAAAGTGCTGGGATTATAGGCATGAACCACCGCGCCCGGCCATAGTTGCCTATTTATATATAACAGAGGTAACGCTGCAGAGTAGCCCTGAAAAAGACAATCTTTTTAGTTCAATTGGATAGCCACATGGAAAAAAAGTAAATCCTGACTCCGTAAATATAACCCAGCTGATTTAAGATCCCATCGTGGCCTATCAGCTGTGACCCTCCTTGTATTTTCCCACCTCTGAGTAACAAATTTCTTTCCCCACCCCAGGATACAGCGTCTGCTCGGCAGCAGCTGTGAATGGTAGAAAACACCCTGGCCGGTCTCAGTAGTTTCCAGAAGCCGCACCCCTCCACCGAACCTCACTCCCCATTTCCTACGCTCTAAAGCGAGGACTCCTTAGAAAGCCAGTTTCTATCTTACTTTTTCTTCTTTTCTTTTCTCTCTCCCTCTGTCTCTCTCTCTCGTCGCAGGCTTGGCTCAGAAACTCCGGTGTCCCTCAGCGTCTCGCCTGCGCCCTCTGCAGGCGTGAGGTGGCACTGCCTGACTGCATCCCGTTGGAGCGCCTACACTCGGTCGGCAAAAGGAGCGTGAACACTCTTGGACCTGGGAAAGCAGAAGCCCCAAGACCAGGGAAAAGCCGGGACCTCGCCCGGAGCTAGCGGGAGGCTACGGTGGGGAGCCCTGGGGCGGAAACCAAGCGCTGGGGGCGTGGTCTCCAGTGGGGCGGGGCCTCTGGCGGGGGCGGGGCCAGCCCGCAGGCCCAGACGTGGCGCAGCGACTCGGAGGTTCGCCTCCAGCTTGCGCATCATTTGCGGCCGGGGTCCCGATGAGTCTCCTGTTGCCTCCGCTGCCGCTGCTGCTGCTTCTCGCGGCGCTTGCGGCTCCAGCCACAGCCGCCACTACCTATCGGCCGGACTGGAACCGTCTGAGAGGCCTGACCCGCGCCCGGGTAGAGGTGAGTATGTCGGCCTCCAGCCCCGGCACCACCTTCTCCCAATCCTGCGGCCCCAAGGGAGCACCGACCGCCCCAGCCCCAGGACCACCTCGAATCTCGAGTCTCACTGCTTTCCCCTGGCGCCGGGGCCATCCCTCCTGTTCCCTAGCCCCAGGATGGCCCCCGCATCCACCGTGGAAGCCTGAGACACTGACTTTGCGGCCTGAAACTCCAAGCCCTTCCCCAGCTCCCCCTACCCGGCCGACAGCGGACCCCCAGACACACTGACAGTTTCCTAACTCTCCTCGTGGCCTGTGACTCTCAAGCCTGTCCCAACTTCCCATCCCCCATCACTTCATGTTTTCCTGGAATTCCTCCCCCACCCAGTTCCAGGGCTTGAGGCTCCAGAAAGTCTCTTTTCCTATTCCTGGGGGGAGAGAAGACTTTCTGGGTGCCTCCTTTCCTCATTCAGGAGCCAGGGAAGGGGGCCAGCTCGACAGGGAACGGAGTTGGGAACTTGGTTGCTAACACTTACTCTGCTGCAGCCTCCCATCCTCCCCCCGACAGGAAATTCCCCTTTGGAGTCCCTGTCTTGCTATGTGACTTTGGCCATCACAGCCCCTCTCTGTGCTTTTTGTGAGCGCTGACTGACAAAGAGGTGTAGGATGGCTGGGTGCTGGTGGTGCATGCCTGTAATCCCAGCACTTTGGGAGGCCAAGGCAGAAGGATCGCTTGAGCCCAGGAGTTCAAGACCACCTTGGGGGGAACATAGTGAGACTCTGTCTCTAAGAAAAGGGGTGACAGTAGGATGGAGGAGGGCTGGAGTGGTAGTCCTGGGGTCTGGACTCCTGTTGGATGGTGGTGTCTCCTCAGGGAAGGCAGGAGGATCCCTCCCATCCTCCCATGTCAGGGAAGCAACTAGATGGTCTGTGGGGCTGGGCCACAGGTGGCAGGCAGGGCAAGGTCTGCCTGTGTAGGGTAGGACCAGATAGTAGGTGTCTCTAATGGGGGCCCCCTAGGACCATTCTGAGATGTTTCCTTCTGGTCTGCCTCCACTGTGAGATTTCAGGAGTCAAAGGCCAAGCCAGGTCTCTCCTGCTTAACAGGAGCAGGGTGATCATCTCCCCTGGGCATTAGGAGTCAATCAACAGCCAACAGGATATACAGGCCCCAAGGCTGGCTGGCACCTGTGGGTCTCTGGCCTTGCCCTTTTCCTCTGGTGTCTCTGGCCTGAGTCTCCCAACCTGTATACAGTTTCCCCTTCTGCCCACAAGAGACTAGCATCTCCTTCATACCTTGGGAACTGCTGATCCAGGGGCAACTCACAACCCGACCCAACTCAGGGATAAGGATGTATGGCTTTGGGGGTGTGGCTGGAATAAATGTGAAGGACTCCTGACCTATCCCATTTTATACTTCTCCAGACCTGTGGGGGATGACAGCTGAACCGCCTAAAGGAGGTGAGTTTGAAGGAAGGGGTCCCTATCTCTGTTCCCCCTGAGCCTCTTGGGGATTGGGCAACATGGTCCCAATGACTAGGGGTAGGGGGAGGACCCTTAGGCTGAGAATCAGGAGCCTGAACTTGACTTGCTTTATGACCCTATTGGGCTTCAGTGCCCTGACTGTACCTGGAGGGGACTGGGGCCATGTTCTCTGATGCTCTGGTTCCTCCCCAGGTGAAGGCTTTCGTCACTCAGGACATTCCATTCTAGTATCCTTCTGTTCTGGGGGAGAGGGAGTGGGGTGGGCACCTGGGAGAATCTCCACTTAACTTCAGATAGAGGTGGCAGATAGTTTTCAACTGACAAGTGGAATTGATTGGTAGTGGCCGCCCATAGGATTCTGAGGTGGTCTCCATATTGGGTGGGCAAGACACTGACTAGTGATGACTGCCGGAGAGCCCTTTATTTCTTTGAACCCTAATTTTCTCATGTACAAGCGAAGAACCCAGCCCCACTTGGAACAGAGTAAGTGCTCAGCAAAGGAGGAAATGCTGTTCCCATAAGTAAGGATGCGGGAACCCCCACCTCCCTCTGACCACCACCACCCACCTTAACACCACCTCCAGTCACAACCTGGTGATGAAACACCTCCCTGGGGCCGACCCCGAGCTCGTGCTGCTGGGCCGCCGCTACGAGGAACTGGAGGTGAGGCCTTGGGAGGCGGGCTGGGGGCGGGGCCCGAGGCCGAGCCGGCCTGCTGACCCCGCCCCTCCTACGCCTCAGCGCATTCCGCTCAGCGAAATGACCCGCGAAGAGATCAACGCGCTGGTGCAGGAGCTCGGCTTCTACCGCAAGGTGGCGCCCGACGCGCAGGTGCCTCCCGAGTACGTGTGGGCGCCCGCTAGGCCCCCGGAGGAAACTTCAGACCACACTGACCTGTAGGTCTGGGGGAGCTGCGGAGCTGGGACCACCTACCTGCCAGAGTCCTGGAGACAGATGAAGCGCTCAGCATCCCGGGAGTACCTCCCTTGCTGAGGGCGGATGCCCCGTCCCCGGGCCAGCAGCGATGGGGTTGGGGAGGTTCTCCCAACCCTGCTTTCTTCCCTCCCCAGCTCCACTAAATTCCCTCCTGCCTTAACTGAGGCTCGACTCTTTGTTGTTGCGGGCGGGTGGAGTAGGAGGTCGGAAGTGGAACCGCTGAGGACCCCCGCATCCCCAAATGTCTGGCTGCTGCAGTCGGAGACCTTGCCGAACTGCCTTCGGTTCAAACCCCCTTCCACCCCGAGGAGACGCAGGGAGGGGTCAGGATCGTTGAAAACCAATAATTTATCAAAACGTTGCGTGTGTATGTGAGAGGAGGGTGTCGCGACAGACAGGGCAGCGGTGGGCAGGCGCACAGGGAGGGATCGGTGCCCGGAGGGTGGGGGAAGCAGCTTGCCACTGGCGGGCCGTGCGGGCGGGGAGGCTAGACATTCTTGCCGCGCAGGCGCAGTTCGTGGCGCCGCAGGTGGTTGTAGAGCGACTGCACGTAGGTGAAGACACACTTGGGGTCGGGCTTCTTGCCCATGATCATCATGTCCTCCACCTCCACGAGGGGCACGCAGTCCACCAGCATCCTGCAGGAAGGGGGCATGGGGATGGATGTCAGCGCCGGCCCCGCTTCTTGTGGCACCCCCCTACCCCAAGTTCTTTTTTATTGCCGCATTGCCTGCTAGTCTTTCATAAACTCCAGACAGGGAAAACCCAGGAAGGCAGGAATCCCCTGGCTTCATCCACCCAAACCAGGCAGGTCCTGGGTCTGTTTCCTCCAACCCTGGGGAGGGGCTGGATCCAAACCCTGCCCACGTTCTCCCTGGAGCCCTGCTTCTGCTCACACTCACTGGCGCACTCCAGTTGGTAGAAGCCTCTCCGCTGGGTCTTTGCACCCAGATGGGCTTCATCACTGGACAATCTTTCTCTATGGACAGGTCTCACTCTAGCGATCCTATGGTCCCCTGATTATTGTTTGCTAGCTGCTTGAACTGGTACTTCTTGCTGAGTGTCCCAGGGACCCCTGTTCTTTGAAGGGGGGTGGGGATAACCCTGCTGCTAGAGATGGAGGCCAGGGAGTGTGTGGGTGGCAGAGGGGTTCTCTAACCCTTATCACCTGCCTTGGGTAGAGCAGGGGAGGCAGATGAGGATCCCAACCAATACCAATGGACCATCTACCCCATGCTCAGGGGTGGGACCACCCTTCTGGCCATTCTTCAGAATGTTAGCTGCCCTTCACAGATAAGGAAACTGAGTCACAGGGCAGAAGACCCATTTGTTTCAAGCCTCACAACTTAGTAAGTGCAGGCTGGGCCACATGAGACCCAGGCCTCCAGCTCTGGATGTTGGCAAAGCCTCTTCCCCACTCTGGGGTGAGTGGGTTGTGCCTATTAAGCAACTGACAGCCCCAGGGCTCTGAAGCTGGAGTCTGTTCTCTGGCTCCTTTCCCCTGTCCCGCAACCCCCCGAGCAAGACCTTTTCTGCCTTGATCCCTGTTTGCTCTCTCCTATCTGCCATGCCTAGCACATAGCAAGCATTCAGTCCGTGTTGCTGAATGAGTTTCCTATAGCGGAGAAGGCATAATAGCAAGAATTGCCCCTTATTCTCAAGATGCCCGAGAACCCAAGACCACCTCCCATTTTGTGCCCTTATGGACAAACTCAGAACTGTGGTAGGGCTGGGCCTAGTCCCAGCTCATCTGGACTCCTTCAAGGAAGAAACCCGGGAGGCAGGACACCTCTGGTTTAGTCTAGATTCTATCCCTAACCAGTTGTGGGTGCTAGATAAGGCCCTGTTCTATGACTCAGTTTCCCCCTTTCTAGAATAGGACAGTCATTCCCTACCTCATTTGAGACCTTAGAAGAACTTAAGATGAATGAAAGGGTTCTGGGTCTGCTGCTGATGTGCCACGTGCCCCTGGAGTCATCCCTACCCCAGACCGGGCTTGTTTCCTGAGCTATACCATGAGGCAGAGGCTTCTTCCAGCTGTGACTTTCGTCCCGGAGATCCCGATCTCCCTCTCCAACCTGGTGCTCCCTCCCACCCCCACTCCCTTCCCTGGAGACCTTATAAAGCCATTGTTTACACTGGGGCTCACGCACGGCTCAGGGCTCAGGGCTCAGGGCTCGGGCTGCCCCAGTGACAGGCCAAACACCAGGCAACTTGAGCAACAGCACGGCTGAGTCACACTTTCCAACTGGATCAGAGCTGGGCTGGGCCCCTCTCCCTCCAAGCTGGCTTGCTGGGCAGCAGCTCCTAAGTCCATATATGACCTGGAGATAGTACCAAGCCCATCCTCCCCTCACCTGCACTCCTCCTCTGAGTGTGTGTGTGCACATGTGGACTGCTCCCCACAATGGCTCCAGGCCCCGAGGGGCATCTGAGTGTGCCCCTACCTGTCACTGACTTACATTCCTTCAGGCAATCCCCTTGCTCCTTCTGGCCTCTATGTTTAATCCTCTCTACAAAATGGGCAGGAATGCAGTGATGGGGCAAGGAAAACAGTCACTAAGTGAGGAGGCTGGAGTCCCAGTTTCTGGCCCCAGCTCTGACCTAACCATCTTCCCTCTCCCTCCTACTCCCAGAGTAAGAAGTTTGAAGGTCAGACTTCTTACTGCGGACCCCTCCTTCTTCCTCACATCCAGACTCAAGTTTCTTCCCCAGGACAGTCTTAGCCCACCTCTCTCTCTCTGAGTTCCTTGTCTGTAATGGGCAGTTGGTTCAGGATCTGAATTCTCTACTTTGATACTGAGGTAAGGTGACCAGAGAGGAGATGCCACAGCTGGCTTAGGATCCAGAATCCCCAGCCAGAAACATCTTCCTGTTGAACTGGACATGCTCCTGAGTTCCCCACTTTGGAGTACAGCACCACCAACTCCCCAGTGCCCACATAGGAGCCTGGCCGACTTCTTGACTTTCCCTCTCTCTCTCCAAACCAGATCTATTGGGAAGCCTGGCCTTCTAGCTCTTAAGCTATTCCAGCCATCTAGTCCATCCCATCTCTTGTACAAGCCTCATCCAAGGACTGTTCTAGAATGCTGTTCTGACCACATCCATCCACTGTTTGGAAACCCTTTATAACTCCTATTGTCCTCTGGAGGAAGGTCAAACTTTTTTTTTTTTTAATTGAGATGGAGTCTCGCTTTGTTGCCCAGGCTGGAGTGCAGTGGCATGATCTTGGCTCCCTGCGACCTCTGCCTCCCAGGTTCAAGTGATTCTTCTGCCTCAGCCTCCTGAGCAACTGGGATTACAGGCATGTACCACCACACCCAGCTAATTTTTGTATTTTTAGTAGAGGTGGGGTTTCACCATGTTGGTTAGGCTGATCTCAAACTCCTGACCTTGTGATTCACCTGCCTCGGCCTCCCAAAGGGCTGGGATTTCAGAGGTGAGCCAAGGTGCCTGGCCTGAAGGTCAAACTTCTTACTGTGGACCCCTCCTCCTTCCTCACATCCAGACTCAAGTTTCTTCCCTTCCTTGTGTGCTGCACTCTCCAGCTCTCTTGCCCTGCTAAGGCTAGGCTGATCCCTCTCCCCGGAACTCCCTCTCCCTCCTTTAGCCTGAACTTGTTCAGATCCCAGCTTAGTTTGCACTTTTTTCAGATTCGGGTCCCAGACCTGCAGCCCGGGTCAGGCGCCTCCCTGGGGCTTCCCCATCACAGTGCTGCTCACCTACATCATCACTGCCCATTTGGAATGGTTTTGCCTGCTGGACCCTGAACTACCAGAAGACAGGGCCATGTCTGGCTCCTCTGGTTTGACTAAATACCCCCTTTACTTCCCCCACCCGCCTCCCGGGACCCTCTCTGTGTCTTGCTGAGCAGATTCTCGTGAAACGGGGCAAGTGGGAGAGGCGGCGTTTCTCACCGTGGGGCCCCAAACAGGGGTTAGGACTTTTTGGTTTTTACCAGCCCCTTCTGGACCAGACAGCGGTAGAACTCCTGGATGTACGTGTACACGCACTTCCAGTCAGGCTCTCGAAGCCGCACCATGTCCTCTGTATCCAGGAGCTGCGGGCAGTCCGCATGGGTCCTGGGGAGGGTAGGGGGCCAGGAAGGGGTGGGGGACGGGGGCAGGAGGCCAGGGCCCCGGGTGGGGAACAGAGGGAAGAGGCAGAGAAGAGAGAGGGGAGGAAACAGAGAGATACACACATACACACACACACACAGAGACATGAGTTCAGTTATGTCTCCAGTGCTGCAGTCTGCCAGCCCCCCGCATGCCACCTCCCCACTGTGGATGTGCCGCTCACTACCCGTCACTAATGGTGTGCAATGCAGACAGGGGTGGGGCCAAACCAGTCACAGGTGCAGAGAACTCTAGGGACAAGCGGGAACGCAGGGTGGGGGCGATGGTGTTGGCACCAAGGTTTGAGAGGAGCGCTGTGCCCCGAGGAGAGGGGGTGAGGGAGGCGTGAGAGGAGGTGGGGGGAGGAGGGGGAGGAGGAGGAGAAGGAAGAAATTTGAGGGAAACCAGAAAGAGAAGGGGAGAGAAGGGGAGACAGATGGAGAAGGGTGCTGAGGGTGAGGTGAGCAGACGGGGCAACGATTCCAAAGTGGAGGGCTTGCTGAGGTCCTATATAAGCCTCTGGCAGGACTATATAGGCTGGGCGGGCACGGTGCCCGGGCCAGGAGCCTCCTTTTGGAATCTCCAGCCGGGATCCCGTGGGAGCAGGAAGCTCTGGTGACAGTGGGAGGAGAGCAGGACAGAGAAAGGGAGAAGGGGGCAGAGGGAGGATGGAGGGGATATGGACAGGGCCACCTGGTGGGCCTCGGCCCGGGCTGGTAGGCCGGCCTGTGGCTCCTTCGTTCCGGTGGGTACCTGGCACGCTCAGCAGAGGGTGGGTGGGGATGAGAAGGACGGGGACTCTCTGGGCAAGGGGGTCTCAGCCACTGACTGACAATGTGGCCAGCCTGCTCCAGGGGTTCTCAGGGCAACTGGGCCTGGCCCTGATGTCCAGCCCCAGATGCACAGCAACACGAGCAGGGCCAGGGCCCACACTTACTCCGCAGACGAGAAGGCCACCTCGAAGTTCTGGCGTCGGTTCTGAGGGCTAAGCTGCCCATAGTCGAAGGCCTCAGGGAAGAAGTTGTGCACCAGGGCACAGAAGGCCATCCCGTCACTCCAGCTGGAGGAGAAGTTCTGGATGTCCACGTGCTGTAAGCCATAGGAGGACTGGTCAGGACCCTGCGGGCAACTCCCCCTGCTGCCTACCCCTCGGCATTCTGGTATTCCAGACATAGGGCACTGGGCACAGAGAGGCCCTGTCACTTGCCCAAGGCTGCACAACGAGTGAATAGTTAGAGCACACGCCTCCTCCGTCAGTCTGTCAACTCCCATGTTTGTGATTTCAGGGACAGAGCTACCGAGGGGCCCAGTGCCACCCAGCTAAGATCATGGTCATGCCTCATCAATCCTTCCCTCAGTTAGAGAAATTGACTCAGGGTCTCCTACACAGCAACAAAGAGGGGACTCCAAAGAGTGGGATCTGGCCTTGAACCCTGCTCACCACCCAAGAGGCCCTGTCACTTCATCACTGATTCTGGAATTAGGGCTTGTCTTGTGTCCTCTTTCAGCCTCAGTTTCCTCACTTTAAGAGGCTTTCCATGTTCCCTGTGAGGCCACACAGTGGCGGAAAGTTACTGGGGAATAAAAGGAGCTCTGCTAAGGAGGAGGCGCTGAGCTGGGTCTGAGGAGGCCTCCAGGCCCCCTGACCTCCCGGGGCTCACCTCGTAGCCGCGCGTCTTGGCTCGGCACCAGTCCAGCAGCATCTGCTTGATGCTGTTGGCGTTGGGGACACCGAAGCTGGTGGATCGCTGCACGGCTGCGCGGGGTCCGCCAGGGCTGCTGCAGGGACGGTGTCAGGACCAAGTCACACGACTATAAGAGGTGCTGCCTTGGTGGGCCCACCGAGCAGATCCCAGGCCCCGCCTTCCATGACCTTCGGGCCTTTGCACCACAGATCTAGCGGCGCATTCTTCCCGTCTCTGCCCGGCCAAGCCCCGCCCCCACTGCCCATCAAGCCCCGCCCCCCAGTGCCAGACCCTTTCCGCAGCTCACCAGGCCGCGCCCTCCTTCTCCAGCTTCTCAATCATGGCCTTGCGCGCCTGGGAGGCTGAGGTCTTGGGCAGACTCTGCGCCTTCATCAGCTCTTTCTTCTTCTCGGCCTGGCGTTTCTCGAGGGCTGCCAGGCTGCCGGCCCGCGGGCTGGCCTGGTCCTCGCGGTCGAAGATGCTAGGGGTTGGGGAGGCACATGTTAGGCAGGGAGAGGAGGGCTGCTCCCCAGCCTGGGCCACCACTCAGGAGGGGGCTCTTGTGGCACATGAGTATCTCCACTGCCACAAACGCCGGCCGGGGAGGGAGGCGTCCCTATCTCACCCATTTTACAGGGAAGTACAGAGGTTCAAATGACAGCAAGGTTTTCAACAGGTTTCCGCCCTGGCCTTCCTCCCGCACGAGGAGTTCTCTGAGAAGGCTCATTGTACCAAGTTACAGGGGAGTTTAGCTTCTGAGCACTATCCGCTAATAAAAATAGTATTTTTTTTTATTAAACATAATACCAACATAATAATAGTAATAATAATAGTAATTCATCTCTGTTGATCCTTTCCTGTGTGCCATTTTAAACTTCACAAGGAGGGAGGGGCCTGACCAATTCCACTAAAGGTGAGGAAACCGAGGCCCCTGGCAGCAACTTGCCTAAGATTTCAGAGGACGTGATGGGCGGGGCTAGAACTTGAACAGTCTCTCTGACTCAAGAGTGCCTGGACCCCTTGGGCTCCCATCCTGGATTCTGACCCTGTCTCTGCTTTCTGCCATCCCCAATAGCCTCTGTTACATGGGGGTGCCCTCCTGCCTCATGGAGCTAAGGTATAAAGGTGCTCTGTTACCTGGGACATGGTTTGCAGACACTGGGAAGTGGTAGTGCCACCAGGCAGCTCAGTGTGGTAAGTAGCCCTCTCTAAGGGTTCAGCGCTATTGCGGCCACTCAGAAATGAGCCCTAAGCAACTCACTGGCCTCCCTGAGCATCCACCTTTCCTATGGTGTGGTTGAGAATTAAGTGAGATCCCAAAGTGAGCAGGATCCTTAACTCTCACTTGGCCCCTCCCTGGCTGTAGACCTATTACCTCCCAGCATCCCAGGCTACCCCTCTGTTTTATTTATTTATTTATTTTTGAGACTAAGTCTTGTGCTGTTGCCCAGGCTGGATACAGTAGAGCGATCTCAGCTCACTGAAACCTCTGCCTCCCAGGTTCAAGCCTTGGCCTCCCAAAGCGGTGGGATTACAGGTGAGAGCCACTGCACCCAGCCTACCCCTCTGTAAAATGGGTTTTGCAGTTATGTCCCCTGTGGCACTGACCCCTCTGTGGTCGGGTGGTGGGTGCTGGTGCTCACCTGCCCATCTTCTTGGATGAGGAGGAAGAAGAGAAGGTCTTGGTTTGCACCATGGTGCTGCTGCCACTGCCATCTGCAAAAAAAGGGAAGGGGCACCAGGTGAGGGCCTGGGCTGCACATCAGGAGATGGGATGAGAGGCTGTGTGGAGGGACGATGATAGCTGCAGGCAGAGAAGAGAAAGTGACGGCACAGCTGAAGACACGAAGAGAGAGCTCAAGGAAGAGCTGGAGGAGGTGGGCGGGCAGGCAGGCAGGCACAGGACGACGCCAGGTGGTCTTACTCTCCGAGCGCCTCACGAAACTCGACTCCACTGTGGTGGTGCGGGCCGTCCGTGTGCCATCATCTGCAGGGGCAGGGGATGAGAAGGATGTGAAAGGCACAGGGGGCTGGGGGAGGATGTGTTCCCACCCTGAGCCCTGGGCCCCACTTGGCCTCTTACTGGAGTGGACGAGCCGCTCAGTCTTGGTAACAGTGCTGACAGTAGAGCCATCAGCCGCCCGCTGGCTGTGCCTCGTGGTGGTCTCAGTGGCTGTGTTGCCACGGCCCTCCCCTGGCCGGGCCCGTGCCTCCTGCAGCCGCCGTTCCCGCTCCTTGTCCCGCTGGTCTGGGCAGGGATGCCCCATGCATGTGCAAAGGGCCACCAACGCCCACACAGCACAGATGCACAGATGCATTGGGACACACAAGATGGGGGGGAGGGTGGCTTGTTAGAAACATTAATGACACAGGTAACAAGGGCCTCTCTAGGAGCAGCTGGGGTGAGGTGCCAGGGAATGGAGTGTGGGAAGGGGCTGATGGACTCAGGTAGAAACTAGAGAATAGCTAAACTCAAAGAGGTAAAGATCTAAGAAGGGAGTTTCTATGGGCATGAGTAGCTGAGTCAGGAGCGGGTATTTAGATCTAGTGAGGCAGCAGCTGAGTCCAAGGAAGGAGAAGCTGGGTGAGGAAGTAGCTGAGTGGGCCATCAGTGGGTCTTTGGTTGCAGGAGAAGAGCAGCTGGACACAGAAATATCTAGATCCAGGAAGGGAGCAACTGATGGGATCTGAGAAGCAATTTGATCCAGGGGAAGAGTAGCTGGGAGAGAAGCTGATGAAGGGGGTTAGCTGGGCTTAAAATTGAAGTAGGTGGGTAGAGATAGAGGCTGGGGTGGCCATCAGTGGGCCCTGGCAGAAGCAGCTAACTAAGAGTACTTGAGAGGGAAGCAATTGAACCCAGAATCTAAGGGAATGAATAGAAGTGTCCAGGGAAGAACTATATGAGGGAGGAAGTTGCTGTGTCCAGGAAAGGGGAAGCTGGATGGGCAGAGGCTAAGATGGCCATCAGTGGACTTTAGGGAGAGGAGCAGCTGGGAGAAGGAGTATCTGGATTCAAGGAAGGAGTCGTTGACAGTACTTGGAGAAGCAACTGGATCCAAGGAGAGAGTAGCTGAGGGAGGGAGTAACTGGGTCTAGGAAGGAGAAGAGAAGCTGGTTGGGGAGAATAACTGGGGTTGCCAACAGGAGAGAAGCAGCTAGGGAAGGGATCAGCTGGATCCAGCAGGGAGTAGGCAAGGGAACTGCTGGGTCTGGAGAAGGAGAAGCTGGGTAGGGCAGCCACTGAGCTGGAGTGTCCACAAATGGACCCCACAGTATGAGGGGAGCAGCTGGGGAGTGAGGCAGCTGGATCTAGGGTAGGGCAACTGGCTCTCTACCTCTCTTCCTTTGTCGGAGCTCACGAAGTGCGGCCCGGATGAGCTTCCGCTCTTCAAAGTCCGTGCTCTGATCCAGCTGCATAGAGAGCCCGTCATTGCCTACCTGATGCCTGCTAGTCCCTGGCTTCTGCCAACCCCCAGCCCACCAGATCTGGCCATACCATCTTGTCCAAGACTCCTTCATCCTCAATAGTCATCAGCTCTTCAGCACTCAGGGGGCTCCGCCCTTCTGGTGCTTTGTCCACTTGGGTCTGCTGGGCCCCATTGGCCGCTTCCACTGCTGCAGAGGGAGGCTCTGCTGGCTCTGGTTCCATCTGCAGTGTGGGGAGAGGGCATGGACTTTAAGCAGGGGCATGGGTGAAACCCACCATGCTGGCACAGCCTTGGAAATAACCACTAGCCTGCCAGCCTGCCCACCCAAGGATGGCCATGTCAGCGTCAGGAAAGAGGCATGGACAGCCTTGTTGTAGGGCTCCATGTACTGAGCATCGTATTAATACAATTGATGGTAATAATGATGATTTCCAGTCCATAGTAAGTGTTGTATAAGCACTAGGGATTTTACTGCCCCTATTTAACAGAAGCAAAGGCCGGGCGCAGTGGCTCATGCCTGTAATCTCAACACTTTGGGAGGCCGAGGTGGGAGGATCACTTGTTGCCAGCAGTTTGAGACCAACCTGGGTAACAGAGCAAGACCCCATCTCTACAAAACACAAAAATAAAAAATTAACTACGTGGCTGGGTGCGGTGGCTCACACCTATAATCCCAGCACTTTGGGAGGCCAAGGCAGGTAGATCACGAGGTCAAGAGATCGAGACCATCCTGGTCAACATGGTGAAACCCCATCTCTACTAAAAATACAAAAATTAGCTGGGCATGGTGGTTCACGCCTGTAGTCCCAGCTATTCGGGAGGCTGAGGCAGGAGAATCACTTGAATCCAGGAGGCGGAGTTTGCAGTGGGCCGAGATCACACCATTGCACTCCAGCCTAGGTAACAAGAGTGAAATTCTGTCTCAAAAAAAAAAAAAAAAAAAAAAAATTAGGTACTCATGGTGGTGTGCACCTGCAATCCCAGCTACTCAGAAGGCTGAGGTAGGAGTATGGGACTTGAGTCCAGGAGTTCGAGGCTGCAGAGAGCTATGATCAGCAGCTACACTCCAGCCTGGGCAACAGAGTAAGACCATATCTAAAACAAAACAAAACAAAACAAGCCCCCCCCACAAAAAAAAACAGAAGGGAAAACTGAGCTCAGGGCAGCTGACTGACTTGCCCACAGTCTCTCTAAGTGCGAAGCGGCCCGGGACCTGGGCTGAAGGCAGTCTAACTCCTGAACCTCAGTTCTTCTTGCTGCTTTGCTCCCAGCCCCCTCTCAGGCAGGCTCTGCTCTGTGCTGCCAGTTCCTGAGGCCTGGGTCCTCCTGGGCCAGTGCCCAGGCAGCACATGTTGCTCCCCATCCCCCTGCCACCTTGCCAAGGGGCTGGCCCAGGGCCCGTAGGCTTCTGACCAGGTGTTTGACTGGGGCTGCCCTGAGCCAAGGCCTCTCTGAAACTCTCCTCTGTACCACCTCCCCCTTCCTCGCCCCTATTGGAAACCATCCTCTAAGGAGTCTCCAGCCCTGTAGCCCTCCCAGCCCCTTGAAGACAAGGCCTCAGGCCAACTATTATGGCCCTTCCTCTCCTGGCAGGGCCTCTCTGTCTGCTATAAGGGTAAGGAGAGCCGAGGTGGCAGCTGTTTCAGGGAGGCTTGGTCTGGCCAGGGTGCAGGGCGGTGGAGCCGGGGGCTGGGGCCTGGGCCATGCCAGGGGCTGCCAGGGCAGCTGCCATGCATGCCTCAGGGCTGGAGCCTGGCACCCTCTTGCCCCAGTCTTGGAGCACTAGTGCCCCAGTCCCCAGTCTTTTTTTTTTTTTTTTTTTTTTTTTTGAGACAGAGTTTTGCTCTTGTTACCCAGGCTGGAGTGCAATGGCGTGATCTCGGCTCACCGCAACCTCCGCCTCCTGGGTTCAGGCAATTCTCCTGCCTCAGCCTCCTGAGTAGCTGGGATTACAGGCACGCGGCACCATGCCCAGCTGATTTTTTGTATTTTTAGTAGAGACGGGGTTTCACCATGTTGACCAGGATGGTCTCGATCTCTTGACCTCGTGATCCACCCGCCTCGGCCTCCCAAAGTGCTGGGATTACAGGCGTGAGCCACCGCGCCCAGCCTAGTCCCCAGTCTTTATAGGTAAACTGAGGCTCAGAGAAGGTGATGACATACGTAAAGTCACAGCGGAGGCAGAGCCTGACTCAAAACCACCCCCTCCCTCCAACCCAGAGGGACTTACGAGACTAGTGCTGCGGGCAGTGCTGGTGGAGGAGCGGCGGCGGGTGCTGAAGGCAGGTGGGTGGGCCACAGGGGTCCCAGCATCCTCGGCTGCCTGGAAGAGGGCCTCGGGGTCGGCGGCAGCCAAAAGCAGCTCGCTGGGCTCCAGCTCAGGCTCGAGGCCAGACACAAGTGGGACCCCCAGTCGTAGGCTCAGCACCTCCACCTGCCTGCTCAGTGCATCCAGCCGCCGGCTCAGTGCTGCTCTCTCTGCCCGCAGCTCTTCAGCTGCCCGGGCCAGCGGCTCCACCGTGGCCACAGCTACCTCGGCTGCCTGGGTCACTGCTGCCCGGCCTGCCTCAGCCACCACCTGCAGCTCCTCCAATGCCCGGCCCAACTGCTCCTCCAGGGCTGCAGCCAGCTCAGGCCCAGGCCCTGGTACCCCTGGCATGGTGCTGGTGGGGACTCTATGGGGGGTAATGGTGTGGCAGTGGCAGAGGCTGCTGCCTGTGGCTGACAGTGTCTGAGTCTTTGCAGCTGGTCCGAGGGCAAAGGCAAGGGCAGTGGGCCTGCCCCGCCCCTGCCTCCTCACCCGCCACCAGCCAGCTGGAGCTGCAGCCCAAATAGAAACCTATTCTGGGATCCTCCGTGGAAGGGGCAGGGGGGAGGGGGGCCTGCCCAAGCAGACAGATCGCCAGGCCTGGCCCTAGCCCTGCAGAAACCATACGCCTGCAGGACAGTAAGACTGCATGGGTGTAAAGATCACTGAGATCAGGGTCCCACGCCCATAGGTGAGGAAACTGAGGCAGGGAACAGGAAATGGACCTATCTGAGCCACCATGTACATTAGCTGTGAGAATCCCGTCTGCTGGACTCCACTCCTTCACCCTCATGCCATGCTGTTTTTGACAGCAGGAACAGATGGGGGGAGTGGAGGCACAGGGAGGCAGGACTTTGAGTGATCTGCTGCAAAAAGGGTCTTGGCCTGAGATAAATGCCCTCTGGCCTGCCCATGGTGCTCACATCCAGCCACAGACTTTGAGCAAGCACATTATGGGCACATCATCTGTTCCCCCTTGGTTGCAGATGGGTAAACTGAGGCAAGTTGGTGGTGTCAGACCCAGGTCTCACTGTGGCACCTCCCATCCACCTCAAGGGCCTCAGCTGGTCCCCCCACCCCACCTTACACAATCCCTTGTCAGAGGGCAGCTAGATCCTGCTTTTTTGGAGGAAGGGTGCTTTTTTTTCCCTCACTCTCTCCCTGTCTCCCCTGAGAAGGCCCAAAGCTGGCTCTAGCCATCTCACCTCAGCCAAAGTCCCGTTCAGTCCCTGGTTCAGCACAGAGGGCATTACCTGGGCAGCCAGGTGGCCCGCTTGGGAATCTCTTCCCCAGCTGAGCTCCTGGCTAGTGGATCCTGGGCTTGGGAATGAATAATGGAAGGGTGCTGCGTATTCAGTTCCCAAGCACCTGCTAGGCTGCTGCCTCACCTGATTGGCACCTCCCTGCTTGTCTGTCCCCCATCAGTGCCTCTGCCCAACCCCCACAGGGAGGTTGACGCAGATGCTAATTGCTAATCTCCAATCTCCTAATGGGCCAGGCTGATCTTGGATGAGCAGATGAGCTGCTCTATACCTCATCCAGTGTGGGTGGGTGCAGGGGCACTGGGTCTGCCACAGGAAGAGGGGAGCAAGCCCTCACTACCCTCTCTGAGCCTCAGTTTCCCCATCTGTTCACCAGGAATGAACCAACCAGTTTTGGACTAAAAATCAGAGATCAGCATGCAGGAAGCTTAATGCCAGTACAGAGTAAGCTTCCGACACACTTAGGGGCTGATACGCTAGGGTCTGGCCTTAGCTCTGCCGCTGACTAGCTGTGGTCTGTGAGCAGCCACCTTCCCTCTCTGGGCCTCAGTTTCTCTGTGTGTGCAGTAGGGGAGGAACAGAGGAACCCTGCTAGCCCTACACCCTGAAGCAATCTATGTGAGGCTGACTGACTGTGAGGCTGGTGGGGTGAGGAGGGGCTCACCTTGATGCTGCAACCTCCTCGGCTACCGGGGGAGGCATGGCTGAAGCTGGTGACATGAGTGACACTGCCCAGCCGAGTCAGGGTCCCAGGACTGTTGACACGGGTGATGGTGCTCTTGCCCCCACTACTGGTGCTGAGGAGGGTCGGGGGCGCCCGCAGCCCCAGTGTCAGTTCTGAGTGGGAAGAAAGGTGGCGGTCAGGAGGATCAGGTGGAGTGAGGGTAGTGCCAGCCAAGGTTGACAGTGCCCTCGCTCCCAGCACACCCTTTGAAGACACCCTGAGCCCTGGCCGCAGCACCTGTCCTGTATGCAGAGGTGCGGTTGCAAGGCACTCATCCCCAGTGGGGAGGCAATGGGGGGCCTACCTGCCCTCTGGTTGCCTGTGGGCAGCAGCACCCGGCCTGTGGAGGCCTGGCCACGGCCGTCCTTGATCTCGATGGTGAATGTGGTCTTCATACTGCCCCCTGGCTCGGCAGTGCCGACAGCCACGGGCAGTGGGGCACCAGGCTCCTCTGAACGTGCCACAGGCCCCCCTGCTCTGTTTTCAAGGGGCCTGGCAGCCAAGCCCCGCCCCCTGGGGCCCTCCTCCTGGGGGCAGCTTTGAAGCTGGGCCAGGGGCTGGGCTACTCCGAGTTGCTCCTTACTGAACCGGGAGGAGGTGTCACTGGGGCCCCGAGAGGAGGAGCCACTGGAGGAGGAGGCAGGGGTGGTGCTGGTGAGGGAGGGGCCCAGGAGCCTTGCAGGGGTCAGGGGACCTAGGGCAGCCCGGGGTGTGCCATCCTGGAGCCTAGCAGCCATAGGAGAATCAGATGTGAACTTGTGGACACGGTCCCGCACAGAGCCAGCCCGCTGGAACGAGGAACATCCGCTGGCAATGGGGGTGGACTCTAGAAGGGACAGGAGGGCTGTCAGCGGCTGGGTGGGTTTGGGTCTGTCCAGAACCTAGTAAGGGGTGATAATAGGTGGTACCTCGGTTCTGGGCTGGCTGATGGGGACTGAGCACCGACAGGGAGCGTTGGCAGGGTCGGGGTCTAGCCAGGTCTGGCAGGTTGGGGAGGGGGTGGTGGCCATGTGAGGAAAGAGAAAAGACAGGGGATAGTAGGGGTTCACCTCTCAATCCTCTCCTGTACACCTCCCTAGCCTCCCACCCTTTCCTATACCCAACCCCCATCCTGCCTCCCCATCCCCTCCTGGATCTCATACTCCAGCATCACCACTTGGCTTCGTCTCTCCTACAGGCACCTCCTTCCCCTCCCACACCGACCCTAGGATGATCTGGACGTTCCTGGGGGCTGGGCAAGGCTTAGGCTGGAGGAAGGGTGCCAAGATCCTTCCTGCAGATGGGGAGGGGGGACAGCCCCTTGGCCAGTGCTGCCCACAGCTCCAGCTGGGAGATGGGCAGACTCCCTTATTGGGGAGAAGAATGTGCCTGAGGCTGGTTGCTTTTCAAGGCTGCGGGGGAGGCCTCTAGCCATGGGGGTGGAGGGGGAGGTGGGCCTAGCCGGGGGCGGGGACACTTCAGGGGTGGGGTGCAGTGTCAGGGACTGCCTAGACCTGAGGAAGCTGAAGCTGCCAGGCACAAGAGCCCATTCTCTAGGCTGGGAAAGGGAGGCTGGGAGAGGGGAAGCAGATGCCTGTGACTACCCCTGCTGGGATCCTCACCTGCTCTCTTGGTGTCAGAGGAGCCTCTGGGGGGACTCTGGGCAGCAGGGGTCTCTTTGCGGCCAGACAGGAGCTGCAAGGGAAAACACGGCATGAGCAAGGCCTGACTCCCAGACCCGCTCACCTGCCCGGCATCCCTGCCCCTCGTCTAGACTCACCTTGTTGGCCACCTGGCCCTCAGTGCTGGGGGGCGTTGGAGACTCCTGAGGCTCAGGGCTGGTGGTCTTGGGTGGGCTGGCAGTTGGCTCTGGGCTGCCTGGAACCTCGGCTGTAGGGCACTGGGCCTCAGCAGGCTCCAGTGGAGGCTCGGGAGAGGCAGGGGTGGGTGAACTGTAGGGTGAGGCAGGTGAGCGGGAGGTGCTCCCAGGAGGGGCCCGCAGCAGGAGTGTCACTGTGGTCACATCCTGGCTGGTGCCTTCAGGGGTGGGGGTTGGCTTTGAGACCTCTGCCTGCTGCTCTTGTTCCTCTCGCTCTGGCACCTGCAAGGAACCCATAGGATACAATCAAGGCTCCCTAGGCCTCAAGTGCCACTCCCGCCACCGAGGGCCAGGCTGGCAGGTGCCGAGGGCAGGGCATGCAAAGCAGAGCGGCGGGGACATGGCTTCCTGTAGGCACACCTGCACAGGCACTGGCACTGGCACGCTAGGGCAGTCTCTGATCCCCACTTCCCAATCTCTCGGCACTGCCTAGCCTAAGGTGTTCAGAGAGAACCAGGGCCTGATATCAGTGGGTGGGGATGGCAGGAGACCTGCTGGGGACCGGAGCCTTAATAGATCCCTGGAGCCGAGGTTCCTGACCCCTTGCCTCAGCCTGGTTCATCTGGAGTGGAGATGGGGTCCTGCCAGGACCGTGGACCCAGCGGCCTCTGCTGGCCACTTAGGGAAACTGCATGGCCTGACCTCTCAACCACACTCTCTGGAGAATAAAGAGAGCTGTGAACAGTGCCCCATCAATGTCTGACATGCAGGCCCCATAACCCAAGGTAAGGGTGTGGGCTGTGTGTAGGGTGAAGGGCAGCCCTGGGATGGGTTGAAGCAGGGGAGGTGCCAGGGCCAGATTTGCATTGCTGGGAGATCCCTCTGGCTGCTGAATACAGGCTGGATGGCAGGGGTGGGCCCCTTACAGTCAAATACCAGCCTAGCAAAGACACACAAGGTGCTCTGTGCTACTGGCATCCGTGGGCACAGGACACTGGACCACCCTCCCAACCACCTTACCTCACACTGTTCCAGCCTGTGTGCCACTCGCCCCTTGCTGTCCTCTCTGGAGCCACTGTTGGGACGCCCGCTGTACAACCTCCCAGCCAAGGTGGCCGCTGGAAGGGAAGGAGCAAGTGTCAGGTGAGTGTTGGGAGGTGCTGTGGACAGCAGACAGCAGGACAGGGGTGGGGCCAGGACATGCCACATACCCTCAATCTCCTGAGCCCGGACGCGGCGGATGGCAGCTCGGATCAGCTTCCGCTCCTCATACTCACCGGCGCTTCGCAGCTGTGGGTGAGAGGCAGGCCGTGGGAGTTGGGCTGCGGGGCCCAGGTCTTCACCTGCCCTGCCCCCATTCCCTGCCCCAGCCTGGGCCTCACCAGCACAGTCAACTCCTCCACATCGTTCATGGACTCCAGCTGCCCTGCCAGCTGTGCCAGGGCAGCCCGCTGCTCAGCTTCCCGCTGCTGAGAGCTGCAGAGACATCATGACTGTACCCACCACTGCCATGGCCAGGTCGTGGAGGATGTGGGCTAAGGGTAGGAGCCAGAACAGAGTACCCAGAACCTTGGCAGAAGGGCATGTGGCTGTGCACACTCTCTGACTGCACACTGACACACATATGCCCATGGACGTGGGCACTAATACCACATACTCAGATGTGCTGACTACACCAGCACAGCCACAATGCCATGATCAGTACATGCTCCATGCCCACAAACATCCCTGTTTTTCCAGAAGCCTGTGTGCACATACTGCCGTCTGCACATGCAGTCCACAGATACATTTGTGCTCACGCCTGCCAGCACGCATGAGCTGAGCCCTGGCACGTACTCATCCTCTCACCCGCATGTTCCATCCCCCGCTACTCACTGCAGCCAGTTCTCCTTGTTGTCCTGCCGCTCGGCACGGAAGCGCTTGGATGCCAGGGCCTCCTCCTCGCGCTCCAGCTCCTGCCGCTGCAGTTCCCGGATGGCTGAGCGGATGCGCCGCCGCTCTGCCAGGTCCGCTGTGACCTCCAGCTGCAGCGGGGGCGAGGGGCAGGTCATTTTGGCTGCCAGGGGCAGAGGGCTGGCACCAGCTGCCCACATCTCTGCCTGGGGCACAATGTGTGGCCTGTGTCCACTCCCTCTGCCCTAAGCCCTTCACGTGGCTGCCTGCCCACGCAGAGTCTCAGGGGTAGACCCAGCCCCCTGTTTCAGTGCTCCTGGGGAGCCCACTATGCATTGTGGTTCACAGAGCACATGACTGTGAGTGGACAGCCAGAAACCGCCCACCTGTGCCAGGTGCCAAGCCAGGCACTCTTTCCTGCAATTCGATTCCTACCCATCAGAGCCCAGACCCCCAAGAGCCAGGGAGCTTTTGCAGGAGGAGGGAGGCCACCCTGTGGGCCACTAACAAGGTCCCTAGAGGGAAAAGTGACTGGGCTGCTGAAGTCCACCCTCTGAGCAAGAGAGGCTTCCATGGTCTAGTCACCAAGCACCGCAGCCCAGCTGGGGGTAGACTGCCTCATCCATAGATGGGGAAGCTGAGGGCAGGTGCTCAGGGGTCCTGCCTGGCTGAGGGCTATGCTCCACACTGCACTGGCCTGGCCCTAGCCACCATTGAAGGAGCCAGGGTGCAGAATGGGAGGACCACTCCCCTAGACATATAAGGCAGCTGGCATTAGGGGCCACCTCAGGGCCTTAGAGAGGGCATCCCTGGGTGACAGTTCTCAGCGCTCCCAAGTTCTCAGCCCCTCAGTTCCCAGGAAATTGGGGGTGACTGGTCTAACCAGGTTTAGGAAAGAACACCTTCTCTGGAGTGAGTCAGCCAATCCTGTTGCCTCCCCCACACCTCCACCAAGTAGAGCCACCCCCTACAGACCCTCCGTGGCTCAAGGGAGAGAGGACTGGCCCCAGATCCCCCAGGAAGATGGTGGCAGAGATAAGCCTCCAGTGTGGGTCTGATAACCAGATGGGAGCCAGTAAATGCAGGTGATTTCCTCTTTTCCCACTCCCCAGATCATTCGGAGTAGGGCCAAAGAACCCTCTATCACCTCCCTTTTTAGCCCCCACCTATCATTCCCTTCTGCTTAGTGGGAAGGCCAGGTGGCAAGGGTGGGGATGGGGTGGAGACAGTTTTCAGCAGGGAGTGTGGGCTGGCCCAGCTCAGCTATGAGCCAGCTTGTCCTTGTCTGAAGAGAGCAGGGAGAGTCTTGGAGGCAAAGCTCCCCAGGCTCCACATTCCTGAGGCGGCCCCCTGAAATTCAGGCCAGAGCCTCCAGTTGGTTCCAGCCCCAATACAGTCCTGGATGGGTGATCAGGGGCACATCCCTGAAACTCTCTGTCTTGGTTTTCTTATTTGCCAGTGGGTGGGGGTGGGAACAGTGACTTGGGCTCTCCTGTACATGGCTGCAATTGCAATAAGCATCATCCCCATACTTGGTTCTAGCCAGTCAGGAGGAGGGAGAGAGATGGAGAGTGCAAATGGGAAGGGCAGGATACCCCAAGGCATCAGTAACATTTATGGAGAGCCTCTAGGTCGAACCCTGTACTGAGCCCCCTACTTGTCCTAAACTCACAAAAACCCTAGATACTGTGTTATTCCCATTTGACAGATGAGGAGATTGAGGTCCAGGGAGGAGATGTGATTTGTTTATGGTCAAATGACCTGAGCCAGGATTTGAACCCAGGTTTCTCTGACTCCAGGGCCTGCCCTACACTGAAGATAGCTCTGCTACTGGGGTATTTGTCATGGTGGGGACCTCAGGGACCCTGACACTGTGTTGGAGACCCCTCTAGCCTGGACTAGAGATGCTCTGAGGCCTAAGGGGACCTCATAGCAGAGGTGAGAAGAAGGAGGCTCACTCCCCAGCTCCCCCGCGGGGCCCCCCCCACCCCTGTCCTGGCTAGTCTCAGGCTTAGAGCCTCCTGTGGTACATTTGGAGACCGGGGGCTGGAAGGGACAGTGGGCCCAGCCCCTCCAGTAAGAGAGTAAAGAGGTCCAGAGGTGCAAGTGCTAGCCTTTTGTCTCCTAGGTCCCCATTCCCAGTGCTCCAGGCTCTGAGATGGGGTCCTTGCCCCTGACAAAAGCCTGATATAGGAACTTAGCCACCTCTACGACACAACCCCAGGAGCTTCAGTGTCCCCATCTGGAAAATGGGAGCCTCCCTCGGATCCCCCAAAGTGGGTGGGCAAGGCTGGGGACTGACAACCTCATTCCACTGGTCACCCTCTGGCACAACCCTTCCCTTTGGAGGCAAAGGTTGGACCACAGTGTTCCCTCTGTGTGTCCTGGGCTCCACCCTGCCAGGCCCCACCACCGTGTAAGGAGGGGACTGTGGGAAGGAGGGAAGGAAGTACAAAGCGCCATTGTCTACTGAGGGGGAAGGGGAAAGGGATGGGGCGGTTTCCGAAACTGCCCAGTGAAATTCTCCCGGGAGGAAAGAGGGTGCTTCCTCCCCCTGGAGGGCTGGCTCTCCGTGTACTCTCTGCCCTCACTGCTGGGGACGTCTGGCAGCCCCTGAGGTCTCGCTGGGCCTGTCTCCCCAACAGCATAACGGAGGGGACTCTCCGGACGTTCTCTCAGTCCCAGCTCCCCCAGTAGCCCTTAGGGGACCTGCCGGCAGTGGAGCGAGGCCTCGCCAGGGGGCGCTGAAGGCCCGCAGGCTGCGCGACTGCCCTCCCTCGCGGGGCGCCGCCCTCGCCTCGCCCACCCGGCCTCGCGCTAGGCGCCGAAGGGGGAGCCAGATCGGAAGTCTCCCGCTACCGCCTGCTTCAGTGTCCCCATCTACAGGGAAGAAACCCGAGGTCCCTGGGACACCCAGCTGAGTGGTGGAGCCCGAACTCGAACCTGGGACCGAGGCAGAGGGCGTCCCGGCGGGTGGTGGAAGGGCACGCGGCATGCCAGTCCCCAGGCGCCCCCATTCCGCACAACCCCCAGTCCAGTCCTCAGGAATATGCGGGAGCAGGGGCCGGAAGCTGCTGCCAGCGTCCCCAGATCGGCCAGATGCTAGGGCACAGGGCAGGCGAAGTGGCCCCAGCTTTTCCTTATAAGGCCCGGCCCCGGAGGGAGGAGCCCGGCTCGGGACGCCCCCGTTCCTGCCACGAGGCCGGCGGGGGCCGGGCCGGCGCGTGGGGCGCAGTAATGGCGGGCGCTGGGGGCTGGAGGAGCCGCTCCCGGGGTGGGAAAGGCTTCGAGCTGCACCGATCCCGAGACCGAGGCAGGTTCCCATATGTCCTTTCCCAGAGATGGGGGCGTGGGTGGGCTGACTTCAACCACTGCTCCAGCTTCTCCCAAACTCTTTTTCAGCGCCGCCCGAGCCTCGCATGAGAGAGGGAGGTGGCGGCGGAAGAGCCCTGAGCCTGACTGTGGACACCTTGAGATAAGGATGCTCGGGAACCTGGCCTGAAATTCTCTCTTTTTGGACTGCGCTGCCTCTACGACCCCCACTGGGACTCGGACATCCTGAGGGGAGGTCGAGCTGGTGGGCACCTTTGGAAACCCAACCCCATCCCCTCCAGGCTGCACACATCTTACCATGGCAGTGGAGAGGCAGACACCCAGAGAGTCTAATGCACTGGGCTGAGAACATACAGGCACAGTATCTTGGGGAGGTCATGGCAGCAGCCGGGCACTGCCCAGTGGCTGGGTTACACTGGCTGGTTCCAGCCTCTGCCTTTAGGGGAAGGCATGGGAGTGGAGTGGGTCACTTGTTCTCTAGGTAAGGTAAATCTTTAATTTAACCCCCTGGACAAGGGTCAGGGACTGGGGAGATGGAGCTCCTCTGGCCCCTCCCCCAGGCCAGGCTGCCTGGTTTTGGGGGGGGTGTTGGGGGAGGAGCCCTGCCCCACTGCGTTGCTCTACAGCCTCTCTGTGCCTGGGGGTAGACCGGACTCTCAGGAAGAGCAATCCTCCATGCGAGATCTGGGTCCATGCCTCATTCTGTCCCCATGCCAACCCTAGGACCTAGAGTTTGTGTGCACACCTCTCCCTCCCTCCCTCCCTCCATGTTACACGTAAAGGAACTGAGACCCACAGTAGAAAAATGAGATGAGAAGCCACAGAACCCGTAAGGGCCCAAAAAGCCTGTCTCTCTCTTATGGCCTTGACTTTCCCAGGACTCTAGTCCCCCATGGCCCACTATGGGGTTGGGATTTTGGCACAGTTCCTTCTTAGATGGGTGTCCTTGAGCAGGTGATTTCAACTCTTGAGTCGCAGTGCCCAGGCTTTCAGAGCTGCTGTGATTATTCTGTGACTTGGGATACACAGTGCCCAGCCTGCCCCCTGCCAGGCCTTGGCACTGCCCTGGCTGTTGCTCTGGAGAGGCAGATCCAGCCTCCCCACACCTGTGGCTGCACATGGGCGAGTCCTCAGCAGTTACTGTTTAAACAGGTGGTGGCTGTGGAGGGCTGGGAGGGACTAGGCTTCAGCACCTGGCATCGACAGGCACATGCCACAGGGGCCTCTGCATCAGCCACATGGAACTGGCCTACCCGTGTTCCTGTGTCTTCCTCCTCCTGACCTTTCCCCCATCACTTCTTTCGGCCAGCTGAGAGGTACCTGGGATTGGCCCTGCCTCTCTGGCTTGGCTTTCCTGTCCCCACAGTGGGTGACGGGGCCACTTACCAGCTTCCGAAGGGCACCCTCATCCAGCCCAGCTAAGGCGTCGTCTGACATCTCGCTGGCGCCTAGCTCCGTTGGTTCCTTTCTGGTGAGATCCCCAGTGCCTGTGGCACCTGTCACCAGCTCAGAGAATTCTGCAGGGGACAGACATGAATCAGGCCTGCTGGGGCTTCTAGAAACCACAGGCACTTAGGCTCTGTGCCTTAGTTTCCCTCTCTAACCTATGAGCATCCATTGCTGTCCCATCCTGTAACATGGCTCCTGGCTGGAAGTTGCCCTCTGCCTTAGGGTGGTTTGCCGGAAAACTCACCAAATCCAGGGTAGCGCCAAGATCTCTGGTTCCAGCCCTGCCAGCTTGGCCACCAGCCTGCTGTGTGGCCTGGGATAGACTCTCATTCTGTCAAAGCCTCAAACAGGGAGGGCGGAGCCCGGCAAGGCCCACCCAAGCTGTGCTCACCACCAGGGGGTGCACTCCAGTGTCCACAGTTTCCTGCCCCACCCACCCATGCCCAGTGCCTACTCAGCCCACACCCACTCTGTAAGCTCAGCCTCTGGCTGTGGGCTGAACCCATATCCAAGTTTTTGCTGCCACCACCACTGTCATTCCCCCAGGTGTAGGAAGGTACACTGTCTTCCAATTCTTGGAGCCAGCTCTCCTGTCCCAACCTCCTGAAGCCGGGTGTCCAGGTACCCAGCACCTCCTGCCAGTTCACAGATAATTCAGCTCCCCACCTGGAAGGGCCTTCAGAAGCTGACCTGCCCAACCTCTGGGTTTCAGGCAAACTGAGAGGATTGGAGAGGGCCAAGGATTTGCCACCAAGCAAGGAGGAACCCAAAGACTTAGAGGACAGAGAAGGATGTAATCAAAATCTTGGTCATCTCTGGCTTCTGAAGCTCCATTCCAAAGTGCCCTCAAGGGCCTAGAACACTCTCAGTGACAGGGGCAAGAGCCCCATCTTGCCCCAGTGATGGGGCAAGAACCCTACTGCTGCTCATCAAAATGGACCTCTAAATCCTGGCCCAGCCTCCCAGCTCAGATCTCTCCTTCCTCCTGTAGCCCTAAGTAATGCCTATCTGGAATTTGAGGGCCCCTGGTCTGGCACACTGTGGATGCTTACTAATGTATGGTGACTGAGATGGCCCCAGGACTACCCCCCACCTCCTGTTGATTCATCTTTCAATCATCCCTTCCCTCTCTTCAGAACAGTCACTTGGGAAGTCGCCCCATCCCATGCATGGGTCGGGGGTGGGGGTTACCCCTCCACACAGTTGGGGTGTGTAGGACCCTGCCTGTTCAAGTCACTGCTTGCTCTTCCTCCCATCAGGGTAGGCTCAGAGGTATCAGCCCCACAATCTCTGCCTGTTAGGGTCCTTGCCTCTTACCTACTTACTCTATCTGGGTTAAACCTCTTCAAGACTGTCCAGTGGTCACCAGCCTTAGGTTCTGCGTACATTCTGGTTCCCCCCACGTCTTTTCTTCTAAGGGACAGGTGTCCCTAATGCCTAATCTAGGACACCCACGGGACTATAAGATCCCTGCCGCTGCCCTTCTGCAATCCCATGGTTCTCTGTCACACAGTTTGGGGTCGCCGGATATTGTGAGGGGCCTCAGGGTTCTGTGGCAGCTTCCCCAGGGTTTCTGCCACCAAAGACTAGCGCCCCAGTGGGGCGTGGAGCCTCTTAGGAATCCGTGGGCGTCTTCCCCCCACAGTCTCAGAACTTTATCCCATGGCTTAGAGCTCTCGTGGACGAGTGGGGGCTCCTAGGTCTGGACGTTCCAGAACTCCTGTCCAGACATCCGGGTTCCACCCCCGGACACGTTGGGGGAGCACCAGGATCCCCCCCGAGGTCCGCACACCCACCTCTCAGTCCAGCCCACCCGTCTGGCGCAGGCTCGGCTTAGCTTGTTCGGGACCCGGCAGATGGATTAGACACGCGCAGGCGGGAGGCGCCGCGACCCGGTGTCCCAGGCCCGCTCAGCAACCGTCCCCTGGATTCTGCGGAGAGCTGCCCGTCCAGCCGCGCCAGCGCCCCGTGGCCCCGCCCCGTCCCGACGCACCAGCCAATCCTCGGTTGGGTACCTCCCACTCTCGTGCCCCATTGGGAAAATTCAATTTGACGGTCACACCCCGGAGGAAGACCCCGCCCCTTGCGGGCCAGGGAGATCGGACATCGTAGTCTGGGGGTCGTCTGCGGCGGTGGGTTTAGCGATTCGGGTGGGCACCGGCAGGAGCCCATAGGCTCTGCGCCAAGTCGGGGAGGGCGCCCGAGCCGAAGTAAGTTTCCTGGGGTCGTAGGAATCTCAGAACCTTCTGGACAGCCCGTCTCCGCCCTCCTCTTTGTTCCTGAGACCACGTCCCTTCCCTCGACTCCACCCCTTTCTCGCGTCTGTTTAAGCTCTGCCGCCGTCCCCAGGCTACTTTTGGGACACCTGGTCTGGGCCACCTCCGAGCAGGGACTGAGTGATTGGCAGCACCTTGGCCCTGTGTTGGAGCGCCGGGACCATCTCAGGTGGAGCGGGATCATCACACAGCACGCCTTCCCCAGCCCACACACCTTCGCAAAGACATTGCCTTCTTGTAGCGTGTAGCCTTCATGTAGCATTCTTCTACCTTCCAAGCCCTGAGGGTCTGCCTTTAGGAGGGCTGGAGTCCTAAATAAGGAATATGGAGTCCAGGCTCTCATTCAGCAATTAGCCAGGTGACCCAGGAGTTCAGACCCACTAGGGAAGCTATTTCATCTTCAATGCCAGAGGCCCTAAAGCCGCCCACGGGTCTCCGTGGTGACGAAAGTGGGTACAGTTGGGAAGATGAGGTCTGGAGTCCTGTCAAATAAAAATAATAAATAGCCTGGCGAGGTGGCTCACGCCTGTAATTTCAGCACTTTGGGAGGCCGAGGCGGGTGGATCACCTGAGATCAGGAGTTCAAGACTAGCCTAGCCAACATGGTGAAAACCTGTCTTAGAAAAAAAAAAATAATAAGAAAAATGAAATAAATAAATAAATAAATAATCACTTATTTTGTAGGGCATATAATGCCCATAATAACCATATGAGACCATGATTATTGTCCCATTTTACAGATGAGGACAACAGCTGATAAGTAGTAAAGCTGTGATTGATACCCAGCACCTTCTGAGTCCAGATTCTGTGCTTTTAACCACTATGTTGTGGGATTCTGGGGAGGTACTTTCAACCTTTTGCCCCAGAAGAGACCTGGTTCAGGTCTGTGACACCCCCCTGGCTCTGCATCTAAGGAAAGGCCCAGTCTCCACTCTGAGAGTCTTTTCCGTGTGTCATTTCATTTCATCTCTACATCCCTGAGAAGTGGTCCCATTTTGCACATCAGAAAACCAAGGCATAATCCAGATGCAGTGGGTCATATCTGTAATCCCAGCACTTTGGGATGCCGAGGTGGGTGGATCACCTGAGGTCAGGAGTTTGAGACCAGCCTGGTCAAGATGACAAAACCCCATCTCTACTAAAAATACAAAAATTAGCCGGGTGGGTGGCATGCACCTGTAATTCCAGCTACTTAGGAGGCTGAGGCAGTAAAATCGCTTGAACCCAGGGAAGCTGAGGGTGCAGTGAGCCGAGATTGTGCCACTGGACTCCAGCCTGGGCGACAGAGAGAGATTCCAGCTCAAAAATCTACTTCTGTATTCCAAGGAAGAAAAGAAAGAAAAAGAAAAAGGCACAGAGGAAAGCAACTTGTCAAGGTTACACAGCAGGAGACGCAAACAGAACTCACTTTGGAGGACATAGTTCAAGGTCCTAGGCCCTCTCTACCTGGGCAAGATGCCATCTTATTATCCAGAACGAGGGTCAAGCGCCCTTTAAGGCCAATTCTGACATACTTCAACATTCGCGCTTCTCTTGGGACCTCCCTTTCATGCAGAGCACACCTAGGCCACCTCTGATTTTCAGGGCCTACCTGAATGGCAGTCACCGGCTCCAATGAACGGCCTGCTATGTGCCAGTGCCCTCCTTTCTCCCTGCCCTCTTGTAGGCTAGGAGGAATGGTAAAGGTGAGTTCCTCCATGCTTAGATTTACTGTCTGGCACATGTGCTCACGAGCCCCTGGCCCTGTGGAAGGGATGTGTGGGCTCTGCCCCTTCAAGTCCTTAGGACCTGCATCCACATCCAGACATAGCTGCCAGCCTCTGTCTTCCTTTCTGCAAGGGAGCTGGGGAGGTGATCTAGAGATCAAAGGGCAGTCCGGTACAGTGCTGGGGAAGTTTACAGCTACAGCCAAGGAAAGAGTAAACATCCTGTGAAGAGGGCCCCAGTGTTTGCTGAGCACCTGTTGCATGTCAGACGTGAGGTTCCCACTACTGTCAGGTCACCACTGTGCAGATAGGTACACTCTGATTCGACAGAGGAAGCGGAAGCTCAGAGGTGAAGGCACCCTGGGCTGGTGATGGCATTCAGACT